CGGTATCTAGGGATAAGGACGACGACGGAGCGGGATGAAGGGGGGAGGAGTAACGGCTGAGGTAGAAAATGGAAGAAGGAAAGGAACGCCGAGCACGAAGAAGAGGAACGAAGTCGCGGGAAACTGCAAGCTAGACGGATATATCTTCCCGAGTAAATTAAAATGGATTATATATGTCGACTCCATCTTCAATCTTTCTTCTGTTCCCCTCCACCCCCACTGTTCTTGGATTATTGCGCCGTCTCGCGTAATTGTTACCAGCTCGAGGAAAATTTTCGAAATGAATTTTCCGCTCCTCCGCTTGGAAGCCTGATTGATAATGATTCTCGGCCGGACTCGATTTCGTTGGAGATTCGAGATCCACGGGAAATCCTGCGCTTCGAGGTAATACCAAACGGTACGTTATCCTGTCCGCTTTCATATGCAAATACCTTGCGAAACAACGGATACTTCTTTTACTCGGTATGGCGATTTTTAGGTCACGTTGGCTCGCGAAGATTTACCGGGGAAAACTATCGGCCAGGGGAAAGTCGCAGAAATATCCAACAAGAGAAAAATGTACAATAACAAAATGAACGTTATTCAATTTCGAATCCTAAGAACTATCTCGATACCTACGATTATTTTAGGGCAAGCAGAGTGAAAACTCAAATCCTTCGATCTTTAGGTATTCTATGTTCTTTCTCTCATTACACAGAATCCTATCGGTACAACCCTACCAGAGAGACAGCGATTGAAACATCGTTCCCGAAGGTGTGCAGGAGGAAGGCACGGGGGTGTGGGAGTAGTAGTCGGTCGGTGGCCACAATTCTGGAAAGCCCAAGTTGGCTGGCGTGGAAGGTCGGGACACGGAGTCGACCATGATGTATGCTCCTCTTCCGTCTAATTAAACTTGGGGAGGGTCGCAGAGTTGGTTGGTCGGTTGGCTGGTTGGTTGGTACGCTGGCTGGTCGAACAGACGTACAGACGGAGAGGGGCGGTCATAGGATGGCTTTCAAAATGACAACCGAGGAGGAGAACGAGGAGGAGAACGAGGACGAAAGCGACGGAACCCGGTGAGAATGGGCGAACAAAAGAAGAAAGACGTCGACCTCACGGTGAACACCCTGAACCATTTCATACAACGACGATAATATTCCAGCAGGTTCTTTGAACAGCCTTGTATCGAATTAACATAGACCTTCTCTACCAGCGAAATTTAAATTATTCGTGCTTCCTTTACATTAATCACAGCGATTGATACTTTTTCCACCTTTAACATATCAATGAACTTCTGTTTCACTACAAAAATCAGGTTAATAAATACAGGTTGTACTAAAGTCCCTTTCTTTATAATAACTGCCTCGACTTGGATGAGGCATAGTGCCACTATGTAGCGTCAACAACGTACATATTATTTATCTCCATCGGTGTACGTAAAATCAAAGAAACTGATAGTTCTTCAACTAGTATCTGTAATTCTACAGACTTTCCGTTCCTGAACAACTCACTTCGAACGGAAATCGATCTGTTCCACCAGCAACCTAATCAATAAATCCTCTCCAAAGGGAGCGCGAATTACAGAGATTGATATCGTTTCAACGACCGACAAATATTTCCCCGCTAATAAAAAAAATAAAACAGGCCGAATTCTCACGATTCACGGGCTCCGTGGACCTCCACCGTCGCTCCACGGCAACCAGAAAAGAAATTTTAACTGCAGTCACGAGCCCGACGAATGCACGCCGGGGCCAGCACCGCCTCCATCAAATTAATTTAATTTATACTCAGCCGTCCGAGATGCCAGGGTAGTACCGCCGCGCGCGCGTTCCTCCCCACCGTCTTCTACGGCGTGGCGCGGCGAGTTGTTCTCTTTGGAGCGTATTCGTCTCCTTTGATCTAACGTCAGCCGTGTGGCCTGGCTTCTTTTCTCTTTTCCTCGTCTACGACCGCGCAGCTCGCCGCCGTTTTCCTCCCGACGGTGACACCAAACCGGCTATCCGTCTATGGACGGATGTAAACTATGCCCGTCGCGATCTACCCGCGCCGCGCGTCAATGCGGAACGCGAGAGCTCGCGAATCAGCCGTGTCCCCATAGTGGTTCGAGCTGGGGGGACAGGTTATTGGCGCGCCCCGACGAATTCCTTGGCGCCGGACACCGACGAGCGATTCCGAAACGTTCGGTCTAACACGGGGTGAAACGTCGCGGCCGGCTCTGCGATCTCGAATTCTCCGATGACGACACTCGAACGTCGAGGAACGGCGCACGACCAGGCTGCTCGGTTTCACGACGATAAATTTACTGCCGTCGCACCGACGGAATTCAAATTCGAAAGCTGGAGGTGATTTGCTTGGGTATTGGTCTTCCTAGGCGTGTCAGTTGGACGAGGAAGTCGGTGATGCTCGTGACGAAATTGATTATGCAGGTGTATGGAGCTGATCAATTGTCTGTTAACGCATTCGCATCGCGGATTACATTGCAGGGTCTGTTATTTATATGGGAGACGGTAAAATTGAACAGTAAACCGCGGATTATTCCTCGTTTGGCAATACAGAGCAGATGTTCTTTGCGGAATATTACGCCTTGTGATGCAAATAGGTTAGAGATGAGTACTTTTATGGTGTGAATGTGCGTGAGAAGTTTGTAGATGGAAGATGAAAAAGAGTCCTAAGAAGATCGTAAGGTGGACTTGATAGAATCTTCACGAGATTATACTAGACTATGGGACGGAACCTCTTAATCGATAATGTTCAGAGGACAGTCCTCAAAACCTAAAGACTTTATGTTGAACGACGATCCATCCAAATTTCGATCACCTCTGAATAGGATAGTCCACTTAAAATGACTGGAACCCAACAAATTGGCCGAGACGTAACGTGATTATTATCAATTTATTCTGAACCAATTAGGTTCGCAGTCCTAGCACAGTTAGCGTCGGGAGAACACGTTACAGCCAAGTTGCGCCACATTCACCGTTACCGACATCTGTTCTATAATAATTACCGGGCGAAACAGTGGCGCGGGGTGAGTGCCGAGAACGCTAGACCTTGTTGCGGCCGTAAGTCATCGCGGGAGAAAGATTGGGACGCTAAATCAGGGCTGTTGAGGTCGTAATTCGTTAGCTCGGAAAAGGGGGTGGAGGGGGGAGGAACGTCGGGACGTGGTGGGGTGCTCTTAAAGAGGCTGGCAGCCGAGTGAATACACACTTGGCTCGAGTCACTTACTCTTTTAAGGCGTAATATGTATCCAGCTCGCGCCGAATGAATTCCGGTTCACGGTACGGTCGCTTTAATTCCTGGCAGTGGATACGCCGCGCAATAGCCAGGACCATGGATCCATGAATCGCGACCGTTGATGCGCTTATTTTTACCTTGTAACTGTTCCTAATTTATCGCCCCCCGGGGCGCGCGGTTCATTTTCAACGGGACTCGGGGAAAATCGAGCTGAAGATTTTCTGGGTCATGTTCTATCCACCGTCTTTCGTCTGGTACTTTCGCGGATGGTAGTTGTTGCAAATTGTCACAGTGATATATTACCCACAGTGCAATGAAAGCGAGAAGTCACACAGAATTCAGCCCCGAATTTTCATTCCTCGAACAGTTATACACTATATGAATCAGAAATTGAACATCGGTCTGCAATAAGTTTGAGTTAAAAAAAGAGCTATAGAAATTAAGGATTCCTGTATCAAGCTAGTGAATCTATCTATCCGTACGAAAAGTAACGTGTAAGCGAAAGTAACGCAACACGCGGAACACCGTTCGGGAGGCGGCTGACTTACATTAAAATCCTTTCAAGCCGAGCACCGCGTATGACGCCGTGAGTAGAAGAGCTCTTGACGACGCGATTAAGCCGAACAAGAGGAACGATGCGCAGCGCAGAATCAGGGGGAGGAGGCAGGAATGGCAGCGAGCGAGCGGGCTCGGCTCGCTCGTCTTTTCACGAACGCGATATCGTCATCGTGCAAACAGCGTATATGCATTAAACCATGAACCCACTATCCCCGACGTCATATCCAATACACGTTGTTAGGGGGTTGCCGAAGCCGGGCGGTGGAGAGAAACGAGGCGAGGTGGGCTGCGGGAGAGGAGAACGAACAGGGGGGTTGGCTGGTTGCGGGGGGAGGGATGGGGGGGGGGAGGCGGTTTCGAGGGTGGCTGCCAAACCCTCCCTCCCGAACGGTGCGGTAATGGCATTAACCGAGCTGCAATATGATTACCGCTCTCGCAAGGTAACCTGATCACACCCGAAATCTATGGGGTGTCCGTAGTATGAGGGACAATGTACCCGTGCTCCGAATTGCCGCGCAACGTTACGCAACCGCGGTTATACACCGACGACGACGGTGAACGCGGACTCGCACACGCCCCCTTCGCCACCCTAACCCCCGGTCCCTTTAATCGCGTTGCGCTTTTTGCGGCTCAGATTACCCGTGAATCATTAGACGGTCCCGCTAGAATCGAGAAAGATCGCGACGGAGAGGGGGCAAGAGGGGGCTCTTATCTCGGCATTAGGAGATTAGTGCCCCCCACCCCCTTCTACACCACCCCTCCCTCGCGTCGACGGTGAACGCGTTTTCCTCCAGTGTTCGTTTCTTTCCGTTTCTTCCCCACCCCGGTTGGCTTTCCTCCTGGGTAAAAGCAATTTAGGAAATGTTTCTTTTTGCCGCCGGGTTTCCGCTCCCCGTCGTTTATCTTCGCTTCCCCGGTTAAGCGTGCTTTGATAAGTCACTGATTGTAGACTGGTTCCGAGAGGCTACAAGGATACCTATATTCCGATCTCTGTGTTTTCGGTGACCGTGACCGATCGGACGACGTTCACACTCGGTGTGTCGTTCGGTGGACGGCGTCGATAGGGTTGGAATAAGAATGCACGAGCAGCAGAAGGAAGCGTGCGAGACGACGACGAACGAACGAGCTCGTCGCTCGACGCGATCACACCGGGGGAACGGATGAGCCGCGGACAGGAACGTCGTTGACGCGCGCAAGAGACACGACGATGGACGTACGTGGACACTTACCGTGAGGTGTTGAAACAGCCACGCCCTGAGGATGTTCGTCGCGACCTTGGGGAAGATACCCCGCTTCTTCTGGTTCTTCTTACCCGACGAATCGTCGTCTTCCTCGCCAGTCCCCTCGCCGCTGCCGATACTCGCGTTACTCGCGTCACCTGTGACAGAATTGCAGAAAATTTCATCAGAGCATGTTTTAAGGATACGACTAAAGTTGAATCGCAGTCCGAAGAATAATAGTTTCTCAGAGTTATGGTCCGTGTACTTAACCGTTTGGAATATTATGATATCGAAGGTAAGATTATCGGGCGTTCAGAGAGCCTACGGTCCCGATTTTCGGCGCAAACTATTCCGGGCGATAACTACACCCCACCCCTAAAGCCGGTTCCCATGCATACAAACACCATTAAGCTACCCGCAATCACCCTGTCCCTCTTTTGCTCGCCGGCCCCTAAACGTCCCAGCCCCGATTTCCGTCGCCATCCTCCCTCCTCCCTTTTCCACCCCTCTTTTTCATCCCCAAGCGCATTAATTCCCCGTCATTAATCAATCTTAGCTTTTTAATTGCACGGTCACCGGGGACTCGAGGAACGAGACGGTAATGAGAGATATTAAGACGGCTTACGGTCACGCCTCGCCGAGGCAAATATCATTTTTATAAATTATCGAGACGGAACCGGGCGCCACCGTTTCCCGTCGGATCCATTCCTTCGCGTTAATTAAGCGCGGAATTGATGAACTCGGCGGAGACTCGCTGCTCAAACTATCTGGGAAATGCTTCCATTCGCCTCAGTATTTCATGTATACCCAATCAACTATAATCATCGTCCACCAAACCACGAGTACACTCTACCAATCATAAATGAGAATGAGCCCAATACCCCACGTGTAGGAACATCAAAATGTACTTAAGTCTCGAAGGTGATAGTAGTGGTGGTATCTGGTAATACAAGATTAAATGACTCCGTAGCGAATTCATCGAACAGAATTTAAACCGTGAAAACCGACTCGACTGGGCAGCGAAAACATCATCATCAGAATTCACCTGGCGTCCAACGCCAATCCATCTCGCCGCGGAACGGCCGGAAGTTCGAGGCTCCCTTTATTCCTTTCTCTCTCAATCAGCGCGCGCGGGCGCGGAAGGAGAACGGCACAGGCTACTTACGCCGACGGATTATAAATGACCGAGCCTTATCGCGCGCTGCCCAAGGCTCCGGTTCCCAAGGTTCTATCGTAACAGAGAGATCAGGGTGAGCCCGGTGGCTCCCAGGGGTTTCACGATGACAGGTCGCCCGGGGGCGCCTGTGCCCAACCCCTCACGGAACGGACCCCGAAACGGTCTCGTGGCCGAGATTAACTTTGAATTCGTCCGAGCGGGCCGACCGACCGGCGAGAAGGGTGATCGAAGGTCGCCAGAGGAGGTGGCGGAGGAGGAGTAGGTGGACGAAAAATTTGTCCGTCGCAGGAGTCGGCGGACTGGAACGACGGGAGATCGATGGAAATCGGACCCAAGTTAGACGGTATTTCCCCGCGTTCGTCCCGCTTTTCCAAAGCGTTTCAGTGGAGCGAGGGAGGGCGGATACGGCTAGGGAGAGAAGCGATCGACTTCGATCAACCTCGACCACCTGCCATTCGATTCGCAGACGAGATTCGAGACGGTGATCCGACGTCCTTTCTAAGGGTACGGTGATAATGGACGGGGGAGAAACGTTTCGTTACAAGTGACACACGAACGTTCTATCCACACGACAATGGAACTGTGTTTTTGGTACAGGCTGTCAATCGTAACTAATATGATAAATTCAGGTTTGAGGAATCATAGATTCAGAGGAAACTCTAGTGGCTAAAGCTACAGGATCACCTTCTGCAGGAAAAGAAATTGTTTGTCTAACTATATGCCAATATTTGAGAAATGCCATTTAACCCTGCAAAGCACATGTTGGACATGATAATTCAATACTATTGCATTTTATGTTATACCACAACGTTTATGCCTAGTGTATCTTCCCATTTTTGTAAGAAGTATAGACCCTTATAGTCGGGCGGTGTATAGTAGTGTATCATTTTCATAGTAGGCTTAAGGAACTAAAAGCTATACCGTGGTCGTTTAATAAAATATAAACATCTGTTCCTAATGTCATCGATCCAAGTCACTCAGCGAATTCTACCATTAAGTCCAACAATAGAACTTGTCCTCCAAAAAAGCGAGACAACAGGGAAGACCTACAATTGTCCAGCGACAAGAAAGCTTACGCGAACTCTCCAGATGTATGCAACCGTGCAATAACGGCCGAGAAATCACGTCATCATCGCGAATCCTCACGGTCGGGTTCACAAGGAGCCAGAAGTCTCGGCGTCGCGCGACCCGTTCCCCGGCCCTCCTCTGAATTCAGCTCTCTGTTTTCGTCCGGCAGAGAAGAGCAGTTTGCGGTGGTCCTTGTACGGGCAACAAAAACGACGTTAGGTCCTCCCCCTCGTGCTCCCCTTGTTCCTCCGGGTTCGTAATGGCGAGGAGCCCGTGCGAGCGGAATAGAGCGGTCTAGAGGCGCGCGGAACGGCCGGCAGCCGGCTAACGGAATAACGGAATGGCCAGCGGAGCGTCCCCCTGATTGCAGTTAATTTACTCGGTGAATCGAGTTAATGTAGCGTGCCGATCGTGCGCCGCCGTCGTTACCATGGCCTGACGTATCAGCCGAAGAAGCGTGTGGCTTCTCCCCGTCAGGAATTTCTCATTTCCGCGAGAGAAACTAATCCCACCGAAAAACCGGTGCTCCGCTCGCAAGAAATCCCCGAGATGAACGCCCGTAGACCGGACATATTAGAGAACTCACGAAAAATAGATGATGATGGGAACACATTCAGAACAGAAATTGCGGGGAAAATACTGGCGCGCGGTTGTGGACGACGCTGGAGAAACGTGTTAACCTCGATACTTATTAATTTCTTATGTATACTGATATTCGTCCAATTTTAAAAATAGAGTTCTTATTCGAGTACCTTTTACATCGATAATCGGTGCGTGGTATATACTTCACAAAAATATAATGGAATTTTCTTGCACCTTCGCATGCTGATATTATTAACCCCTTGCCTTATACAGTGATGGACAACCGAGCTATCGGTTGCTAATAAACAACACACAAGTACCACTTAACAATAGTATTTGAATAAATTTCACAGCAGTTGCCTTAAATACTACTTATATATGTACGAGTTTACAATATATTTGTAACAATATGTGAATAAATTCAGTAAAATTACGTAAAACAATATTTGCTGGTATTAACATTTAACATTTCAGAGTAAATGTACACTTGGAATTTTAGTTATAAAACTAGACCAGGAACCGTAAACGTCAAGAGAATCGTAAGATAAAAGAACAAACTCAGAAGATGTAACACCGTCATAAAACCGCTGCTTTTTTCGTGACGCAACCATAAAATTATTCTACAAGTTGCATTACTTGACACACACGGTATATCGAGTATCCCAGCTGCGCCTTTTGGGGAGCCTGAACGCCGCGCGCGTAATCCGGCTGCGTCGTCGTTCGCGCGTGACCGACAGCCCACGTCCTGTCGTTGATAAGGCGAGGCCGTTTCTCTAGTCGCGATCGAGATCAACGACACGATTCCCGGCCGTGATCGAGAGCACGTATGTATATAGGTAACGTCCTCAGCACGGTAACGTCGCGGGGCAGGCTGAACGTTCCCCAGGCGGAAACAAGTGTCCTAGTCGTGCGGGGAGAAAATTAAACGTTACCAACCGAATCAGGCTAGAATTTACCGCGGCGATAAATCGCTTCAGGTGCGTGGAAAGTCGCGAAAATTGTCCACGACGAGTGTGCGCGCCATACGTGCGTTTTCGTTTACGAGGGAACGCGGCGCGAAAGCCATATCGTCCTCGTGTTGATTTACGCGTCGCATCGCGCATTTTTACGGCCATGTTATAGAGATTTAAGCGCGGCCAATTATACACGTTTGCACAGGCGGCTGTGCTCGCTTCGTCGTCGTCGTCTTCGCTCGAAGAAGAAGACCGAGAGAAGACGCTTCGCGCGCGACCAACGCGGACGTCGCGGGTGCACGCCGCCGCGGTTCTTTCTTTCGAGCTGTCGCGAGCTATACTTAGCCGATGGGTCAAGAATAAGCGAAGTCTCACGTCGGCCTGACTATACGCTATTTCGAGAGGGCGAGCCGAGCGGACAGCCGAGACAGCGTTGAACCGCGTTGGGAAACTGCGCGGGATTCTGGATAATCGGGTGTACAGGGTGTTTGGGTAGCACGACAAGGACGGATACGATTCTAGGTGCAGAAATATGTCGAAAATGTGGAGTACATGTTTTTCGTACGGTGCTTCGTTTTCGTGAAAATCGAATTTGAAAATTTGCTGGATACGCGTGCGATTGAATGGGACTTGGATGGCGCGTCTGTTCAGTGCGTTCTGGTTCCACTTACTGTCACTGGAAATACATGCCGCGTTAGATGAATTTTGAAGGTTGTGTATCTTGGAAACGAAGCATCGTACGAAAAAAGTTGTATTATATACTTTTGAATTACTTTTGCAGGTAGAATCATATCCTTGTTTGCGCCACTATTTCAGAAACACCCTGTACAAACGAAGAGACCACAATCTCTGCGTCGTTCGCATATCTGTGTACATTCCGATAAATACCCACAACACCTCATCGTTATTTATTTAGAAACCATTGACAAGAAAAATGATTAACAGGTGTACAAAAGGTACACAATTCCCCAGTGTCCTTTACAAATATATTCAATGTCCGATTCTACCGTCGATCGTCTGTAGGATGCAATCGGACAATCGCTGGAGGAATTCCATAGCCCCGTCAACGAATAAATAATGTCTATTCAACGGGGAGCGTTGCAACCGGCTGAAAATAGTAATAATCATAATCGAAAACCAATGAATGGGACGTACGTGATCATTAGCGCATCCGCGGATCGACTGGTAGTAACGAGAGATCGGTGGAGGTCTAACCGCCGCGATAACGCAATAATAACGAACGGGAACAGGTAGCAATTAATGTCACGGGGCTGTTCCTCGCGTCGTTTTTACGAGCGATCGTCGAACGATGGCTGACGGGGAATGGGGGAACGACAACGTGGATAGAGGCACGACCACCGAAAACGTCTTCGTTCGA